GATGCCCACACATTACGACACAGGACAGCATAAGCCACAATAAGACTAGACATGACCATACACGAGAATACAACACCATACACTGTAAGTCCTGGTAAGACACGATACAACCAGCTACGATGTTAAAGCATAGGGCAAGGTAATACACGGCAAGTTAAGGCTAGATACGATAAGGCGAGACCAGATAATCCATCCTATTATAAGACGAGGCCGACGATACAAGACACGGCACGAACAACAAATGCAATACTTTATAACATGTTAGATGGCAAGATACGATTAGACGGGGCAAGAAACAGTACGACCAGACAAGACAAGATAAGACAATACACCATACCAACACGAATGAATTATAAGACTAAGGCGTGGTAATCTTATTTAAGGCAATATATGGCACGACGCGGTGATGCACGAAAAGCTAATATATGGGAAGACACCGCCATACAACATACTACACGAGACGAAATGCTATTACAGGGTAATACAAGGCCAGACAACAGACGATGGCGGCAAGGTCAAAGAGAGCGGCAACTTAGCCGGATACATCCTCTGCGCACGCTGCGCCGCGCTGTTAGCGGGAGATGGCATGGCGGAGAGGGACTCAGTCCGTGATTGGGTTCGTGAAGCGCTTGCAGGAAGTGGCGCGCAGCCACGTCCGCACTTCCGCGCTCTTAGGCCTCCACCACAGGCTTGCGCGTTGACGAGGAGTCGTATGTGGGAGAAGCGAATGAGCAAGTCATGGTATTCGCGAAGCACCATTCATTTGAGAATTTGGCGCGGTTGTATCATGCAGAGCACGCGGAGGCGGCGATTGAAGGGGTGACATTCCGCCCCATTTTTCGAGTGGAGTTTCTGATCGCGCCGAAGGCGGGTCAGTTTTTGACGACGCAGGTGCCTGCGATTGCTGCAGGATTGGCGGCGTCCGATTCATCCACTTTAATTTGGTGCTGTGGGCGGCTTCTTTCGTCGGCACACCTGGTTGAGATTGGCGTTCAACTCGACGGGTTGAGCGGCGCAGATCATTCCTTGAGTCCTGGCCAGGCCACCCTCCGGCCTTTATCGGCGAAGCAGCGCGAGCAGTTAGTGAAGGGCCCCGTGCGTTCGCAACTGACTGCGATGCTGCCGACGGCGGAGCCGGGCTCGGACAGGCGCTCTCTGGCGGTGGCTACGCCGCCGCCGCAGGGAACGGCCCTGGCGCGGACCTTCTCGCCGCGGTTTCAACGGGAGGTGCACCCGGGGAACCGGCGCTTCGCAAGCGGAAGCGCGAGCGGGCAGCCGCGATGGCGCATGCCGCCCCGGACAGCGTGGCCCTGCCAGAGGCGACAGAAGAGGTGTCGCGCCAAGGGGGCCACGGCGGCTGCCCGCAAAGTTGCGCGGAAAGTGACGAGCCCCCGGCGCGTTGCTAGGAAGATCCGCCAGAAGCATATGAAGAAGCTAGCGAGGTCTGTGCCGCTTGAATCAGTTTCAGTTGGATGCGCAGCGGGGCAAGACTCTGCGCCGCCCGGCAAGAGGGCCCGCAAGGCCTCTCAAACCGGTAAGAAGCCAGTTCCGAATGGGGCGGTGCCAGCGCCAGCCTGCGCGCAAGCACCCGCCTCCGCAAGCCTTGCATGCGCGGCCGAGGAAGTGCCTGCCAGCAGTGATGGCCAGCGCGCGAAGCAGGGCCCGGCTGACGAGGCCGCGGCGGCTAAGCCACAGGGCAAGCAGCCGATGGACTCTGCGGCGTTTGCGCGCGCGCAGGCCACGTCGGTTGTAATGCCGCAGGCGAGGACGGAGGATTTGAAGGCCCGTTTGACGCAGGCGCAGGGTACGTCGATTGATCTTGCAGGCCAGCATTTGTTTGCTGTGGGCTTTGGCAAGCAAGGGTTGTGTTCAGGGATTTAATCGCCTTCTTCCGCTTAATGTAGTTGAGTATCAGCCTCGGGCTGGTGATCCGCCTTTGTCATCATAAGCTCAACCTGCCCTGTTAGATCTTGCATTTTCCCACATGCCGCTCAAGGACGGAGGTTCATGTGGAGAACGAGCGATCAAGGTCCAGATGGATCTGGAGCAGTTTCAGCCGACGCTGAGCAGGATGTCAGGCCCAGGCCTGCATATGCGCACAAGAGGATTTGCGACGACAGATTCGCGCGAGCATTTGCTAGGCGGAGACGCTCAGGCCACCATGCAAGCGATGAGTCAAGGCCAGCTGGGGGGGGGGAGCTGAATCAGATGGGAGTGAAGCGTCTGGTTCAGATGAAGAAGGCGAAGTACGATCACGTTGCATCTGATAAAGTAGACAAGAAGGTCAGAACCTACATCGAGTGCGAGAGTGCCGTCTTGGTCGTCGGCTCCTGTTTCACGCGGCAGGTCATGCCTGCGTTGTTTGACGTACTTGAGCGCGAGCACCCCGGTTTGAGCTGCCGCCTTCCTCCGGGCCAAATCAGCGGCGATCCGTTTAGCTTTGTGGGCGAGTAGGTTGTCGGAAGGAACCCCGTTGCTGACGCCGCCTCGGGGGGCAACCTGCTGCTTGAGACGCGCGCCTTGAAGGGCGCTCACGAGAACCGATGCTGCATCTCTCTGGTCGTGGCCACGTCAGATTGCAAGACTGGCTTCCCGGACATGGCCTACAAGGCGGAGGCTTGCACGAGGGCTGTCGGGCTGAGCTTTCGCAACCCGCGCAAGTCTAAGAAGTGGATTGGTTGGGAAGTCTTTCGCGATTGTTTGCCTGCGCGCGCCACGGGGCGCCACTCGTAGCTATCGGCGGGGCAACCTACGCGCTGCGTCGCTTCATGTCAAGCGGGGTGCCTATTCATTCGCTGGCTACGACGGTCATTTGTTTGACGCTCGTAGCGGCGGCAGTAAAAGTGGCCAGCGGTCGAGCGGAGCTGAGGCTGGGGCACCTGCGGGAGATGTCCGGTCAATATGCTGCCCCATCGAAGGAGGAAGAGCTCATGCCGAGGCACTTTGCGGACCTCCCCTTCCTGGGCCACTTCGGGGTCGAGCCGCGGGCGGCGGCCCCCCCCCGGGAGGGGGGGGGGCCCTGGGGGGGGGGGGTCGCGCGAAGAAGAAACCAGACGCATCCGCGGCTGCGCGCCCACCCTTCCCGCCAGGGACCCAGTTGGAGCAGCGCGGCATGCCGCGCGAAGTCGCGGGGGGGGCGACGCTTTTCCCCGCGCAGGAGCGGCGCCTCGCAGCCGGATTCTCGCTGGCAACGACGGCGGCGTAACGCAAGATAAGACACGGCAATGCATCGCAAGGTAATGCGCGACGCGATAAGGCGCGAGTTGATATGGCAATATACGGCGCGATACGATGCGATTTGACAATACAGTACAATAGAATGCGTGCCACGGCAAGTGAATGCACGGCGGTACAAGGCATGATGGCACAGTTTGATACGAGTTACACTATGATGAGATGAGACCGCATATGATACGCTAAGAATATATGTGACAGAAAGCACGGCAAGACAAAACAGGACACGATGCTATAAGGCAATACCAGATGAGACAATTCACTCTGCCACGTTATATCACATGGTCAGGCACTATAGGACAACACAGTACACGACAATGCAAGACACTGTGAGCACTACAAGCCACACTCTCATGTGAGCTACGGATACGGCAAGACACTACGCGACGGGGCCATGTGAGTATATTCCAAGGTGAGACAATACAACATGAGACAATACACTACGGACGAACGCACGATCGGTTAGGACACTTTCAGGCAACATAGGAAACGCCAAGGCATGACTAGACCCGATACAACACGACAAAAGACGGCAATACTGACATATGGCACCACAAGATGGTAAGATACTACAACCTACGACATTATACCATTTGGCAAGGTAGTACAAGGCACCACGCGACAATAAAAGACAAGACGCGACAGTCCAATCGCAGACAAGATAATATAATGTATTATAAGACAAGCCAATTTAGACAATGTACGGCAAGCTAAGACAACGACATCCTATGACACGATAGCCCAATATACTACTAATATGCTACAAGACAAGGCAAGACAAGCCAAGACAATGCACGATAAGAAAGCTACGACAAGGTGAACCACCATACGTTATGGAATGCAATCGAAGACGCACCGAGGCAAGACAGCATAAGGCATCACAATTTACGACAAGCCAGGGCAATACACATAAGACACGACAAGACAATCCACTACAATGGCAAGACAGGACACGACACTACACGATTCGATCAAACAATACTAGACCACACATTACACGACACTGCAATAAACAATAAGACCGCATACGACAAGACATTCTGAGACAACACAGTAAAGCATAAGTGAAGACAAGATTAGATAAGTGACTATATACCAATACAGTAAACGATAACATATGACACGACGAGCACGACACCATATGGCAAGACAATATACAGCAATTTCAGGCACTAAAACAACCGTGTAAGACAAGTCAATCTGACACAAGAAAGCACATTTCATGGCTCAATCCGCACCCCTGCTCGAGCGAATCTGGCTGCGTTGGGCGCCGCGGCTCGTGGCGCATCCCTGGGCGCGCTCGCCTTTCTCCCCCCCCCCTCCGCGTGGCGGGCGCGCGGTCCTCTTCTTCGCCCCTCCCTCCCCCTAGGCAGCTGCGCTGGCTCGGCGGCGACCCTGCCGGCGTCGCGCATCGCCTCGGCGGAGTGGGCCCTGCTGCAGGCGACGGGGCTCGCGCGGACGGCCCAGGGCGATGGCGCCGATGCGGGCCTGGCTTTCGGCGGCTCGGACTGGATACCGAAGGTTTGCCTGGCCCCGGCGCCCCCGCCCACGCCGCCGCGCCGGCCGAAGGTTTGCCTGGCCCCGGCGCCTCCGTCAATGCCGCCGCGCCGTGCGACGCCTCCACAGCCGCTGCGATCCCCTGCTCGCGCTTTTCGCCCGATCGCCTCGTCGATCGAGGAGATCTCGCGTCTTCCGCTGCCCATCGCGGAGAAGAGGGCGCTCCCGCGACAGGCTTGAAAGGAGCGGGCCAAGCAGCGCACCCGACGATGGTGGTTGGCAGCTGGAAGAAGTGCAAGATTGCGCCGACGCCGATCGCGCAGCTGGCGCACGCGACGGCCGCGTCGGCACCACCCTCGTCGGGCTGGGGGGCCCACATACAGTCGCAACTCCTCGAGAAGATCCAGGCGCTGAGGATGGAGCTGGGGGTGACCTCGGACAAGCAGCCGCTGGCGCTAGCGGCGGGCACGTACCTGGACGATGCGGCGATCGGGGCCAGGGGGGCGTCGGCGCTGTGCTACAAGACTGTCTCGATCGATGGGCTCGCCTCGGGCAGTGGCTCCGGAAGCGACGAGCATTGCCCCGTTACCTTCGCTGCGCCCGTTGGCGAAAGCGGCTTTGATCAAGCGGGCGTTGCAGGCGGTGACAGAGCAGTAGACGGTCCAACCCAACCCGACGTCCCAGACCGCCTCGGAGGACGAGCTGATGACGAACGCGATGGGCGGCGGCACGGAGGAGGCAAAGGCATCCCAGACCACCTCGGAGGACGAGCTGCTGAGCGAGACGCTCCAGCCAAGCAATACGTCCCAGACCTCCACGGAGGACGAGCTGACGACGAACGCGAAGGACGGTGGCACGGGGGAGACGAAGGCGCCCCAGACCACCTCAAAGGACGAGCTGCTGAGCGAGCGCGACTGGAGCGCCTAGACAGCGACGACTCTTTCGGAGGGCGCGCAGGAGGGGCAGGGCGACGATCTCCCCCACATGTGGCGGGGCGACCACATCTACCCCATCGGCATTATTGACGTATTTCCTCAAGCAGGACATCTATCTCACCAGCACTCTCAAGTATTCCCGCAAGCGGGACATCTACCCCATCAAGTACTTCCTCAAGATGCAACTCTCGTCGCCGCTCCCTCGAGCCTCGAAAGCGATGACGGCGTCGAAGTCCCTGCCAGTGCTGGGGGCCCCCCTGTCCAGCAGTCCGTCGACGAGCAGAGGGCGGGCAGGGTGCAGCCCACTGCGCTCGATGCGGCCTACCTCGACGGGCTGGTCGTCGCCAGGGCTCTACGGTGTCGGTCGTAGACTTCCAGAGTTCCCCGCAGGAGCAGGGCCGCGTCCTTGCGCAGCAAGGAGCGGCCCAAGGCAACCGCGACGTGGTCGCGCAAGGCGTCGGCCGCGGGAGGGCGGCGGCGATGCTACAGGAGCGTCTGGAATTTCCGCGCACTCACTGAGGGGATGACATGCCGAGGGGCGAATTCAGCAGCTAGTTTTTTGGGCGCGCGTGGAGGCCAAGCTGCTGCCCAGGAGCTCTACGCGGGCGCCCAGGGTGCCTCCGTTGCTTGCTGCTCGGCGACTTCGGCCTCTTCGCGGGGGGTTTCCCATGGCTGGTGGCGGCCAGCGGGCCGCGCAGGGGTCCGATGACTTCCCCGCCGTTCGCGGCCGACCGTCTTCATCTGCGGGGACGCCCTGAGCCTACACGCCATCTTCACTTACTTGTTCCTCGTGTTTCTCGCGATCTTCGCGTTCGAGCGTCACTGTTTGGTATCGCGTGGGCTCTGCTGATCCTCGCGCTCTTGATTGCTATCTTGGGGGGTAGTGGTTTGAACGCTCCCTCTGGCTCGATGAGGCGTGGTGGATTGTGGCTCCTGCGTCTGATGAACGGGTAGGGCCGTGCGGCAGATCGCTGTCAGGCCCAACGTGAGAGCACCTTGAGGCTTTTTGCCTGGTGCTTGGCAACTGGGGGCGGCCGCGCAGTCCTCTGTGCTTCGGAGTGCCTCACCGTGGTGGGTCGGTCCTCTTCGTGGCGGTGGCGATGTTCATGACAGTTGACTCGTGCGTGGACCCAGGCGCTGTCCAGCTGCAGGCTCCAGAGGTATACTCCGTTGTGGTTGACGTACCACGTAGTTCCTGCCAAGCCCGTTCTTCCAGTCGTCTCAGGGCTACCGACTGAGGGGGCCGTGGCCTGTTGCGGTTGGGCAATTATGTTTGACAGTTCCGCGTCGTGTGAACGTACATGAGGCGAGCCGACAGTTTGTTAGACAATTCTGTTTGGCAGTTCCACGTCGTGTGGACGTTTGTTTCAGGCGTGTGTGCCGATCTTGGCATGCAGGTAAAAACAACGCATCACATCATAATACACGACAACATACTACACGATAGTACACTACAGCGTACAAACAATACACGTTCAGACCATATGCGATCATACAAGACAATGCAAGCCAACATGGTACAACTCATTACCATACACGGTAATTCAATCTGAGACAATCTCCAACCTTATCATATAAGGTAGCACAATGCGGTATAACAAACAAGGTACGGCAATACGTTACATGACACACATAACAATACACTCTATGACAAATTCAATACCAATCAACACACCATATTGTCAACACACCATATTGCGCCATAGCTTCTAGATTCCAGAACCAGGCAGGACAAGACAATGCCAGATTTGATAACATAAGACGATCCAATACATAACAGACGGCAAGACACGACAAGACGCGGCCAGGTAAACTAAGACACGACAGACCACGACACAACAGTACATTATAAGGCAAAACCAGGCATGATGAGACAAGATAATACAAGACAAACCAATATACTATCATGCAATACGCGGTAAGACAATGGAGTAATACACAACATAAGACAAGGTAAGCAAAGGCAAGGCAAGACAAGACATGATATGTTGATGCCGTTTTGCTCCTCCAGAGGCAGCAGCCCGAGCGGTGGCCGCCAGCTCTGGCGGGGCGCTCTGGGCGGGCGCGGGCCGCCGGGGGGGTGCGGGCCGCGAGGCACGGCAGGCCGCCGCCTCCGCGACGCCGCCGCAGCGCCGTCGTCTGCCCCCTCGCCCCCGAGGTGTGGGCTCTGCGGCGGAGCCCCGGACCTCGGGGGCGAGAGGGCCGGGCAGAGGGGGGGGGGGGGGGGGGGGGCAGGCCTCCGAGATGGGGTCCGAGTTGGATGGGGTCGGAGGGTCCTGCGGCAGCGCCGATGCGTCGGCGATGCGGCTCGATGCGGAGCCCGCTCGTCTCCACGCCGACGTCGTCGAGGCATCGCCGGCGTCGCTGGTGCATCGCCGACGCATCGGCGATGCGGCGGCAGGAGGCCTAGGAGGGGGCAGGGCCTCGGCTGCGGCGCCGTCGTCCGCCCCGTCGCCCCCAGGGTTCGGGCGGCCAGGCCCCCAAATGTACATGGAACCTCGGGGCGGAGTTCTCCTGTCATCTCGAGTCTCGGCCTCCGGGGAACCCTCGCCGGGCCCCGGGATCCTGGGCTTTCCTGCAGGAGAGAGAGGTTGTCAGAATCTTTTTGTGTCCCCTTGCGGTGGGGGAGCTCGGGGACGCCCCACTCGGCGCCATGGCGCCTCAGAAGGCGCCGCGGCGAGTCCTTCTGGGCGGTGGTCTGGCGAGGGAGCTATCGTTCTCTTCCACTCCTCGCTTGCTCGCTCGGCTTCTTTCGCCCCTCCCCCAAACAGCCATAAGTATTCGTGTTTGGACACGTTGGAACGTAACTGAAGGTACACTCGAAAACTGAAACATACAGAACTTGCGAGCCCTGGGAGCGGAAACGGAGAACAATCCTTACAGCTGAAAAGGGCAGTTCTGGGAGGGGCAGAAACGGTCAACTATTCGAGGCGCGCTGAACACGACAAGTAATCGGCTCAGGACGCGGACGCCGACAATGAATTCAAATTGCGCGGACAGTTGCACGCAAGCATTGACACACACCGTTTGCGAATTTTCATAACCAGGAGATTCAACGGAACCGAACGTTGATGTTAATCAGCGTGACATAGTTTGAACTACAGACGCAGCGAAACCCCGATTCTTCATCTTCGGCGCCGCTCTTGTCATCTCTCGTTCCTCCTCCCGCCCTTGCGCCTCACTTATCTAAACTCTGATTTCTCCCTTCCGTGCTACGTGTACGCAGTCCGATGCCAAATACACGAAGGGAGCTCAATGGTGAACGTGATCACGAGTACAATGCTGCACTAAACGCCTGATGCCCAACTGACTCATTGAACGTCTTCTACAGTGTGCCATTCACTGCTGATGCAGAGACGTTGAGGACACCATTCGAACATTCCATGCGTTTCCCCAGATCTCGTTCTCTTGTTTTGATATCTCAATCTCTCTCTCTCTCTCTGTCTCTCTCTCTCTCTTCCTCTCTCTCTCTCTCTCTTTCTCGTTCTCTCCCCTTTTCCCACTCCCCCTCCCCCTCTCTCTCTTTCTCTCTCTCTCTCTCTCTCTCTCTCTCCGTCCTCCCCGTTCCTGCCGCCCTCCGCCCCTGTTCCACCTCACCTTCTGGCCCCCCCCCCTCCATTTCTCCGCCCTCCCGATCCCCCCCCTTCCTGCTCCTGCTCCTCCTTCTCCGCTTCCCTTCGTCCACAGTCCTCCTACTCCCTTCTCGTCCCTCCTCCTCTCTCGCTCCTCCTTCGTCTTCTCGCCGCCCCCCCTCCTGCTGCCTGCACCGCCCCCGCCACAGTCCCCGCCACACTCCCGCTCGTGCTGCTCCTCGTCCACCTCTACTGGTGCGGATCTCACCCCCGTCTTCGTCACATCCCGCTGCCTTCGCCCCTCGCCCCTCGCCTCTTCTGCGCGCCAGCGACGCGCCCCCGGGCCCCCCCCCCCTCTCGTCCGAGCACGCGCCTTCGGCCATGCTTTGCGCCGCCCCCTTCGACCCCCACTCCAGCTTTTGCCAAATCTGGTGATCACGCGGGTTTGATATCGCTCGTTTGGCCTCCTGGTCGGGAGCAGTTGTCCCGAATCGCTCCCGCGAAGAACCCTCAGGCGTTGCCTCTGAAGTCCTGGATCTGACACAGCGCCCACCCCTGGAGCCTCCAGCCTCGGACTTGCAACCCCGGCGGAGGCGGGGCGCAGATGTCGACCTCCAGGCGCGACGTCCACTTCGGACACGTCACTTGGTTCGACGAGAGGCCGCGGCGGGATTCGCGGCACCTCGTCGGCGTTCAATTGAGGAGGAGGAGGAGGAGGAGGAGGAGGAGGAGGAGGAGGAGGAGGAGGAGATGGAGGAGCAGGAGGAGAAGGAGGAGGAGGTGGATCGGGATTGGACATGGCATGGCAATGGCCGGGAAACTTGGCGGCTCTCAGAGCACGCCAGGAACGAGGTGGAAGAAGCTTGCCAGCCCGCCAGCCACCCCACACAGGCGAGGCCGGCCAACGGCCAGGAGCGGGACAGTGGCACACGCAGCCCCTGCCTGGGCGCCAGGCCGCAGCACTCCCCTCGAGGCGCTGGCCCAGGCTGCAGTCCTCCTCGCCGGCGGCGCCGTTGCCCGCTGGGGGCCCCGGCTCGCCGGCGGCCCGGCAGGGACCAGCCAGCAGCCCGGGGATGGGCGGCGCTGGAGGACGTGACGTCTTGCGTCTGGGCTCAGGTTCCGCAGCTCTCCCCTCGAGTTGCCGCAGCCCTGCCCCGCAGATCCCTTTCGCTCGAGGCGGTCACGGCCTCCGTGGCAGCGAGGAAGGCTGGCGCCAGTCGCATCGCAAGATTGGCCAGGGCCGGGCCGCCCTTCCGCGTGGGCCGTCTGGAACAGCATCCGCCCCTCCTGCAGTTCCACGTGGCCTGGGGCGAGCTCCGATGCCAGCCCCCGCGGCCCTTCTTGGGGAAACAAACAATGACATAAACATAACAACTCGGAGGTCCTCGCGGATTTCTCGGATCGGCGCTGGACCCCCCTCCCTGGCGCGCGGAGCGCGCTGGGGGCGTCGCCGGAGGCGCCGCCCGGAGACCTCCGAGTTTTTATGCTTCTGTCATTCTTCTTTCCCCTACTTCTGCAGGAGTGGCGCAGCCCTCCGAGCCTGCTGCAGACGCCTGGCAGCACGCCCTCCCCGCCGCAGGGTGCCGCGTCCTGCCGGGATACGCCGCGCACCCGCCTGCCGGCCGCCTCCGCCGTCGGTCCCCGCCTGCTGGGTCCCGCCAGACTCAGGGCTCACAGCACACACGCCCTGGTGTTCAGTCGGGCATGTCCCTCCACAGGCGGAATGTTTAAACATAGTCCAGAAATAGTCAGGGGACGATTCTCCTTTGATTTTTGACATGTTGTTACGCATTGCTTGATCATTTTTCATTGCTCGTCCAAAATCCGCCTGTAGGAGGACATGCCCGACCTAACCCTGGTGTGCAACACCATCCTCTGCTTCTTCTTCTCCTTTGCGCCTTCTTCCCCAAGGGCCGGAATGCACCATGCTGTACAGCATGGTGCGTGGACTGCTTTCCCCGGTGCTCTCCGCCAGAATCGCTCAAGGGTTGGTCTTCTCCGAGTTGTCCTCGCTCGTTTTTTTGTTGCCGCGGGGTCCCAGCCTCCTTCGGCTCGAGGTGCGGAAACTGTGGCACGACGCCGAGGGACTTCGCGCGCGCCGCCTCCAGGACGTCCTGGTCGGGCTCTGCCTGTTTCGCCGCCGCCGTCGGTGCTTCCTTCGGCTTGCACGTCTGCGTGAGGTTGCGGTCGAGCCCAGTGCCGGCTGCAAGCTGTGGGCAACCCCCCATGCCGCCTTCTCCAGCATGGGACGGGGGCGCGCGAGGTAGGGTCCAACATGAAGCAAATTCAACACAGAGTGCAGAGCCCGCCCGGGCTCCTGTGCCACGCCGCCCCCATCGTGTCCCCGCCCCTCAGGTGGTGGCAGGGAGGGCCGGGGCTAGGAAAAAAAACAGATTCCAGTGAGCCGTGCCGTTCAATTGCAAAGGAGACGTCGAAGGAGAAGAAGAGCGCCAGGGACGTGCAGACAGAAGCCACTGAAAAAGCCTTGCTCGCAACCTGCTTGGCATTCCAAGCCCAAGCTCCAGGGCATGCGGCGCCGGCACGACAAAACAATTTGACATTGAGGGCAAGGTCCAGGCCACGTACCACCTCTGCAACGCCTCGGGACAGCGCAGGTGCAGTGTAATGGTGGACAAAAAAGCCGTCGGGGGTGGACAGACCTCCTAACCTGACACGTCGATTAGCGAATTGGCCGTTTTCGGTTCGCGAGAGGGCGTCGCGGCCGTCATTTTTGCGGGTCCAGGTCCGTCGGTTTGGGTCTTAGGCCGTTTTCACTAAAGGGAGGTTTACTAAAGGGAGGTTCGTCCACCGCCGAAGTCGAACCCTACAGCGTACAGCAGCTGACACTGAAGACAGCAGGGCCTGACACCAGTGTAAAGACGGAGGTGGGGATCAGGCATCAGCGATGCTCGTAAGGTGTAGTGAGTGGCAAAAGTGCAACGCGCGATGACAACATGAAAATGAAGTGATAAGGTGTGAACCAAACTGCAGGGCTTAAATCGCCCCTCCGGCCAGCAAGAAAACATACGATGTGCTTGTATCAACGTAGTGATTGCTAGCCAGGCATGCTGGAAGATGGTCTCAAGTGTATGTGAACATACGCATCACACTCAGAGAGCCAGGTGGCGTGGTGAGCAGGTGAGGTTTCTTCGGCAACATGCCCAGGCATGAGGGGCCCTCTGTACCGCGAGCCCCCCGAGCCAAGGCGGCCAATGGAGAATTCCACTGGCCGGTGAGATCGTTTGGCCGCTGTCAGTCGCCCCTCTTCCTGCAATACGTGCTGATAGCGTTCCTCGTGGGACCGCATAGGGGTAGGTCTCATCCCAGCGCACTTCTTGCCCTGCTGCACTTCTTGCCCTGCTGCCTCGCGGCCTTCTTCGCCTCCACCCACGCCTCTTCTTGATCAACTTCTTGGTGAGCGGTTTATTATTCTTCCTCTTCTTCTTTGGGAGAGCCGCTTGGCCTTCTTCGGCACCGCGCGCTGCTTGCGCACCGCCGCCCGCCGGCCAGGCGTGGACCTCGGCCTCTTTTTGGGCGTCTCCTCGGGAGGCGCCAACGGCTCCCCACGCCCCAGGATCGCAGCCCGGTGTTCCCACGGCGCCTGCGGCTTCGTCTGCGGCCTCTCCTCGTACTGTGGCGCATGCGACACCAGCCGCCTTGCCGCCGGCCAGTTCTCCAACGGCACAGCAGTCATGGTATTCCACTCCTGCCTTACCGTTCGCCACCACTGCGCTAGGAGCTTTTGGGGGCTCCATCGGTCAGCAGTTGGTCCAGCAGGCGGTCCGCCAGGGACACGGCGTATACGTCAACCGCGACACCTCGGGCGTGCACACGACTCCACGGCCTAGGATCAGCCAGGCATTCCGGCCGTCGCGCCCCCCCCTTCACGTGCTGGTCGCCTGACAGTTTCTCGGGCCGCCTTGCAACTTGAGCCAAGTGGCTACGGATAGATGAGGAAGGGGGCAGTGGGAAAGAGGGAGGAGGAAGAGGAGGAACAGGAGGAGGATTCGGAGCAAGAGGAGGAGGAGGAGAAGGAGGAGGAGGAGGGGGAGGAGGGGGATTAGGAGGAGGTTGAGCAGGAGAAGCAGGGTAGGTGGGGGGAGGGTTTGTGGGCGAAGAGAAGGCGTAGGGGTGAGGGGGGAGAGTCGCAGGACATTGGGGACGGCAGAGGGTGGAAGAGGACCAGCTAGGCGCGCTTGTGCATAGCTTGTCCTCCTCCCACCCACCCCTTCACGATGCGATGGATGCTTCCCCATCCGCCGGCTGGGGTGTCCAAGAGGGCCTTAATCCCCGACATGGCCTTTTCGGTTGATGTGCAGTCAGACAGGGGTTTGATACACTGGTCGAGCATAAGGAGATCAGGAGGAAGAAGAAGAAGAAGAGGAGGACGAGGAAGGATGAGGACAAGGACTACCAGGACGAGCAGGGCGGGATCAGGAGGAGCAGGAGGATCGACAGGAGGGAACATGAGGGGTGTCGCAGCGTCGGTGAACGAATGAATGAATTGGATCCAGAACTGTTGTCCGCGCCTTGGCGAGAACGACGTGCTGAACGACTGGAACAAAACACCGATCTGGAAATACGGCCACCACTGCAGCGGAAGTGCCACATTTGAAGAGCCGAAAAGTTGCCAATTGAACACATACAATGTGACATGACAGTTCTCGATGCCCTAGGCGTGAAAAGCAGCGGAAGAGAAGGACAAAGAGGAGGAGGAGGAGGAAGAGGAGGAGGAGGAGGAAGAGGAGTGACAATGAGGTGAGGAGTTGAACTAGTCATGCATCAGGAGCCGTCAGCGTTAGGGTTCATTGGCCGTTCTTCGGCGCAGCTTCGCACAAGTCGAGGCGGCAACATTCACTTCAACCTCAATGAATGCAACGGATGATCTTCCAGGGAGACATTGGCACTGCAGCTTTTTACTTCGGTCTTGATGTGTGGATCCCGTGCTCGCGATGTACCTTGTGTTTTTCCGTTGTTGGCTTCGTTTGTCCTTGTTGGCACCTGTTTCTCTGAGCGTGCTTTTCGGTATTCGTGTTTTCCGCTCCATTGTCCCTCGTTTCGCCCTCTCTTTGTGGCCAAGGTCATGTCAGCAGTCCCGTCCATCATGCCTGTGTGGTTCCTCCTTCTCTGCAGGGGCGCCCTCCTTCATCGAACCGGGAGAGAGGGAGGGAGGGGAGGGAGGGGGGGGGAGCAGAGACGCGGAGATCAGAGGAGGAAAAGGCACCATACCGCTGCCCCTTCCCTCATTTTCCCCTTGTTGGGCTTCCTGGGAGTCTGCCGTCGCCACGGCTGGATTCGCCTCGAACTTCTGGTCGGGACGCGCCCCAGCAGAGGTCCGGGGAGTGGCGGTATCGGTATTTTGTTTGGTTCCCCCAGGAGAGGGACTAGGTGCTCAGTCTCCCGACGACGAGTGTCGTTTCCATGGCCCATGATGTTGGCCCCCGGAGGTCTAGATCCATTCCGCAGGACCAGCTTTTCACCCTGAGCCATTTTGTTGACTGTCCCATGGCCCACGGTTGCGCCGCAAGAGGCTGATTCGAGCAACGCCATGTGCCACGATTCGCTGTGCGTTCGATCGTGCTTCTGGGTTCAGGTTTGCTCCGGGAGGGCCCCGATCCTGGGGGCACCTTCTCCTGGGGGCACCTCCAGCAACTCCCGACAAGAGGCTGAGCTTGGCGAAAGCGTCGCGGGGAGGGAGGAAGCCGACGGCTCTCCCCCCGAGAGGCTGGGCTCATCGCCCACCTGGGCCCAGCTCACCAAGAACACGCCGCGGCCTCAGAGTGAGCCGCGGGCCGACTGCTGCTCTGTGGTGCGTTGGTGCTGGCTCTGTGCGGCTCGATTTGTTGCTGCTCTTTTTTTTTCAGGGGGGAAGAGCACACAGACACAATTGATCGTCGACTCCCAGAAAAGATGGGAAAATATGGGAAGTGGGGGGAAGGGCATAACGCCAGAAAGTATGGGGAAATACGGAGAATCCTGTTGTTTATGTGTATTTATTTGTGTGTCCCCAGGGCCCCTTCATTTTTCCTCGGAGCAGGAGGAGACAGGAGGAGGGGGCAGGAGAGGGAGGAGGCTCAGGAGGAGATGCCTGAGGTTTTCTGCAGGCCCCCATAGTCAGAGGCCTCCAGGGGTGAATGAGTCCTCCAGTCTTTGTCCGCAACCGGTTGCAGAACAAATGCAGTGCAGCTTTTTGTCCGCGTTGCCGCAACATTGCCGTGCAAGTTTTTTGTTCCGGCCGTTGCAGTTTTTCCATGTGGATTTTATGGTGGGTCTGTCACTTCGTTTAGGTGTTACCCGGTTCCGTTTTCCCTGGACTTCCTCTCGCCCTAACAAGGAGGTGGTTCTGTAGGAGTTTGTAGTGGTTTGGGACGCGCCCTGGTGGTATCCAGCAGCACGCGTCACCGAGAGTCTCGGGACCCCGCCGTCTTCGCCAAACCCGCACGCGCGTCGCCGTTGGCCCTACGGGGCACTGAACAACAATGGCCCAGATGTTTCGAGCTCCCATCCCTGGGCATGCCACCGGTTGGAGTGAAACGACGACGCATCACACAAAGGAAGATGCTGGGGATCGGAAGAAAAGTCAGCACAGAGCTACGAAACGCTGGGTGGTCTGCCCCGAAGACCCAGGTGCGCCAGGGCCCCAGCCGCCGCATGTCACCAGAGGAGGAGCCCGCCGTGCCCCCCCCCTTCGCTAAGGTTCATCGAGTTCGACGATAGGGAGGACGCGCTGGCGAGGGGGGGGGCCTTGGGCATCTGTCTTGTCTCCTCGCCCTGCTGCCTGCTCCGCTTCCCGTCCTCCTCTTCTCGGCGACTTGGACCCGTCACGCGATGCGAATCTGAGGAGGAGTCGCCCTGCTGCCTGCTCCGCTTCCCGTCCTCCTCTTCTCGGCGACTTGGATCCGTCACGCGATGCGAATCCGAGGAGTAGGAGGAGGAGGAGGAAGAGGAGGAGGAGGAGATGAAGAGGAGGAGGACCAGGTGGGGGAGGGGACTTCGCTTCACGTGACGAAGTCCCTCCGCCTATCTTCGAGCCCCGTTTGCGCATCCTGCTCCTCCCTCCCCTCCCCCCTCGGTCTCCGACATGCTCCCCCATCCCTTCTTCCAGCCCCCTCTCCGTCTTAGCTTTCCCAGAACGTGGGCCCGATCGAACAGCACGAGGTTGAGGCAAACTGTGCGCAAACACGGTGTGGAGCAACAGATCTTCTGTCGTTTTAGAGGTTTTTGTCGCACTGCCGCCCTTTCCAACCGAAGCCGATGGTCAGGCTGGGTGGGCCCCTTCCCACCCCCGTGGCAGGACGCCGTCGACGAGGACTGCTGCCCGCTCCGCCGCGAGAGGTCGGCCCCGGCGCGCGCCGCGGTGGTCGTGGCCTCAGGCCGCGCTCTGCCGCGCACCTCCCTCCCCCCCGCCCCCGGCGCGGGCCTCGGGCGCGGCGCACGGCTTAGTTGCACAGCCTCGTGCGCTCTGTCCGCATCCCCAACTGGGCCATGTCGGGCATGTCCTTCTATTTACAGGAGGAATATTCGAACATAGTAAAGCATCAGTCCGGGGATGATGTTTGATTGTTTTGGCATATGTTCGGACATGTTTTGACTATTTTTTATGTGTCGCCCGATATTCGCCTGTAGGAGGACATACCCGACCTAAGTATGGGGTCAGGTGGTCTGGGGTTGCCCAGCTCTGGTTCCTGGCAGCGAGAGCGGCGGGCAGGTTGGAGGCTCTGGGTTCGGAAGATGTTTTGCCCCTGTCTCGCCTCTGGGGGTTGCGTTCGGGCCCCAGGACAGGGAAAAACGGATCCGGGGTGAAACAAATTTACCAGATGGACACTGGGAGAAGTCCGGGGAGCGGCTTTGAGGGGATTTGGCGTCATCGCCGCCTCCTGACCGATTTCTTGAGTCCCACCAGTTAAGACCCCCTGGCCGCCTCCAATACCAGCTCCCCCCCAGGTGGGGGTGGGCGCTGCGAAACCCGAGGGGAGCAGCATAAATACATGAATACATGAATTTACTCACCTCAACAATAACCGGATACATACATAGCGATTACACACACGCACTTTCACCAACACACACATACATATACATACACATATGCACGCACGTGCATGCATACATACAAACATGCATACTGCATGTACATAATCATACATACATGTATCCATCCATACATAGACACATACATACAACTAGACAGGCAGACAGGCAGGCAGACTGGCAGGCAGTCACATGCATGCATCCATACATGCATGCATATACGTATGCGTTTACATATACATATCCCGAAACATAACAAACATGCATATCTATACATACGTGCACACATGCATACACATGTGCATGCATGCATGCACACAGACATACGTACACACATGCATAGATACGGGCAGACATGCCTACAGAAAAGTATACACACACGTTCATACACGCATACATACATACATGCATACATGCATACATACGAGAGAACGCGTTTCACGGGCGCTTGCATGGGGAACATCCGGCGGCGCGTTTCGAACCGGGGGTTGGCCCCCCCAAAAAAACATTCGGCGCCGTCGATAAAAACCAGGGGGACTCCCCTGCCCCCCAAACCCCCCAACCAGGGGAGGGGGGGGGGATCAAACCCCCCCCCTCCCCTTCGGCGCCGACGCCGGCGCTGGCGGCCGCCAGCAGCGCCCACGGCGGGGACGCAGCGACGATGACCAGAGGCAGCCCAGAGGGGGGGGGAGGGGTTTGAACCCCCCCGTCCTGGCGCGCCGGGAGGGGGGGGGGGGGTTGTTCGAACCCCCCCCCCTCGCGCCGGCAACGGCGGGGACGCAGCGACACTTACCACCACTACCACCACCACCACCACCACCACGGCCTCAACCCGCCACCACCACCAACAGCACCACAACCACCACCACCACAGCCACCACCACCACAACCACCACCACAACTCACCATCACCGCCACCACCACCACAAAAACCCACCACCACTACCACCACCACTTCAATCTACCACACCACCAACACCGCCACAACCACCACCACTACCAGCAGCACAACCCACCACCACAAACCACCACACCACCATCGCCACCACCATCACTACAACAAACGTCCACAAACCACCGCAACCACAACCCACCAGCACCACCACAAACTACCACACCACCACCACCACACCACCGCAACCACCACCACCACAACTCACCATCACCTCCACCACCACAGAAAACCCATCACGACTCACCACCACCAGCACAACCCACCACCACCACCACAAGCCACCACACCACCATCACCGTCACCACCGCCACCACCACCACCACCACTTCCACAAACCACCGCCACAGCCACAACCCACCACCACCACCACCACAAACCACCACCAAACCACTACCACCACCTACAACCCACCACCACCACAAACCACCACCTCACCACCACCAAACCACCACCACCACCACCACCACCACCGCCACCACCACCACCACCACCCCCACCAACCACCCCCACAACCACAAACCACGACAACAAACCACCACACCACCCCCACCACAACCACCACCACCGCCACCACCACCACCACAACCCACCACCACCACCACGGTCATCCTCGTCGACGCTCTCCGCCACCGCCGCTCGCCGCCGCAGTCGCCGGTGCTGGCCCAGAAATGTAAATCGTCGTCCCCGCCTCCATCGCCAGTCGCCGCCGACACAAGCGCCGGTCCGAGGAGAGTGGAAGCAGAGGAGGGAGGAGGGGGGTCCCGTTTCCCGCCCCTCCAAGCGACCACAGAAGGCGCTCTCTCATACATACACATACATACTTGCACGCGTTCATGCATGCATGCAAACATATATATATATATATATATATATATATATATATCCGAAAGAGCGTGTTCTACCGCTGCTGGCGGAAAACCGGGGGGGGGTCGCTACCGGTTCGAACCCCTCCCCCCCCCCCCTCCGGAAAACCGGGGGGGTCACTACCGGTTCGAACCCCTCCCCCCCCCCCCCAGCTCATCATGAAAAGGGGGGGGGGGTCACTACCGGTTCGAACCCCCCCCCCCCCCCCCTCGAAAACCGAGTGGGGGTGCGGACAGTGGTGGGGACGGTGTTGGTGGGGACAGTGGTGAGGGGACAGCGGGACAGTGGTGGGGACAGTGGGGGGACAGTGGGACAGTGGTGGGGACGGTAGTGGTGGGGACAGTGGTGGGGACAATGGTGGGAACAGGGGGGACAGTGGACAGTGGTGGGAACGGTGGTGGTGGGGACAGTGGTGTGGGGACAGTGGGAATGAGGTGGAAACACTGGGACAGTGGAGGGTACAATGGTGGTGGAGACACTGGTAAAGGCGGTGGCGAGGACGGCGGTGGGACAATGGGACAGAGGTACAGTGGGGACAGTGGTGGGGACAGTGGGGACAGTGGTGGAAACAGTGGGACAGCTCAGTGGGACAGCGGAGGAGTCAGTGGGACAGTGGGGACAATGGGGATAGGCAGTGGTTGGGTCCGTGGAGACAGTGGGGAGAGTGGAACCGTGGTGGGAACAGTTGTGGGAACAGTGGGGACAGTGCGACAGTGGTGGTGGCATTGGTGGGGACAATAGGGACGGTGGTGGAACCAGTGGGGACAGTGGTGGTGAGGACAGTGGTGCTGGGAACAACAGTGGGGGATGTGATGCGAGCGGTGGTAGGGACCGGGAGTCGTTTGCTGGCGGTGCGTGGGGAGGGGGGCGAACCGGTAGTGACCCCCCTCCGGTTTTCGAGGGGGGGGGGGTTCCAACCGGTAGTGGCCCCCCCCGGTTTTCCGGATCCGGAGGGGGGGGGGGGGGGGGAGGGGTTCGAACCGGTAGTGACCCCCCCCGGTTTTCGAGGGGGAGGGGGGGGGGGGGGAGGTTAGGGGAGGGGGGGGGTTTTGCCGGGAGGGAGGGGGGGGGGGGGGGGGGGGGGGGGGAGGGGTTCCGGCAGGGGGGGGGGGGGGAGATTTTCGGAGAGGGGGGGGGGGGGGAACCCCGGGCTCCGGAGGAAAAGGTTGGCAATTTTCCACAGTAAAGCGGCGGTGGATCACGCTCTCTCATATATCCATACCTACATATACACAGGTTCCTATACGTATGCGTGTGCACACACATATGTGCATATCTATATATATACATATATTTATATAATTGTATAAATATATATGTGTGTGTATATGTGTGTGCGTATGCAACTAAACATGCGTATACATTTACATATATACTCTTTTAATTTACACATGTGTTAATTTGCTTAGTAAGTGCAGAATATTACATATAGGTGTATACATATATGCGTATATATGAGCAGGCCCCGGTGGGCAGACCGGCACTTCAATGCTGCGTGGGGGTTCAAGCGAGCCTCGACCCGCGAATAGGGCCGTCGAGGGGGCCCTGGGGGCACCCAAACACGCCTACCACTGTCTCGAAACGGCCTATGCGGCCTCCAAAACGTCCCGAGAGAGCTTCAAATTGCTCTCCGAGATAGGCCCCAGGGGCGAAAATTATTGATTTCCTCTTGGCTTGCGAAGGACTTTCGCGTGGTCGCCTGCTCCGCTGCCCGACGCCCGCAGATGGCACGAGAGGCGTCCAGGAGGGCACCAACACGCCCCACGCCAAAACGACCCAAGCGGCGTCCAAGATCGCCCAAGGCGGCCCCGGCGGCCCCAGCACGTCCGCCGTTGCTTCGATGCGGCCCGCGAAGCATCCAAGACAATCCCAAGAAAACTCCAGACTGCTCTCCGAGAAAGCCCCACTAGGCAAACACAGTGATTTTGCGTCGGTTGTTCAAGGATTTTCGTGAGGTCGCCTCTTCCGCTTCCCGACGATCCGAGACGGCAGAAGAGGCGTCCACGATGGCCTCAAGAGAACGCCAAAACGGCCCAAGATTCGCCCAAGATGGCCCAAGAGGCACCAAGACACCCCAAAACGATTCTGGACACGCCCAACGGGGCTTCAAAGGAGGCCCACAGGGCCGTCAAACGGCCCCAGCCCGCCCTCCATTGCTTCGGAGCTGCCCACCAGGCATCCACTACGATCGAAGAGGGTTCCAAACTGTTCTCCGAGAGAACACCGATGGGCACTTGTAGTTGATCCCCAATTAGTTGTTCATAGACTTTCGCGTGGTCGCGTGGTCTGTTTCACGACGCTCGGAGACGGCACAATGAGGCGTCCACGAGAGAGCCCCATCACATCCCAAAGGGACGCCACACTGAGCCTGGACATCCCAAGGGAGTGCTACACGCGACCATGGAACCCCAAATGACCTCCCAACTGCGGCTGGCCAGCCACAGTGGGTGCGGGCCCGCCGCGCCACCCCTGTGAGGCCCGATGGGGTTACTCGACGGGGTCCCCTGACGGGGGGCGCGCGGGAACCAAAGTCCTCGGGCAGTGGGGCCCCCGCTGCTTGAGACGGGCGGCCAGTAGCATAGGTGGTGGTAGCGGCCGTGTCTCGGGGTGGCATCTCGAGGCGCCCCGCCACGGCGGCGCATTTGTGACGCCTGGGGCGCGTCTGTGCTGCCAGTCAGGTTGCGAGGTCCGGCTGCATGTGACTTCGCGCAGGCACCTTGGGCACCTCCCTTCGGGTTGTGCCGCCCAGGTATTCTGTCCAGGCACGAGCGCTGAGGCGACCGACGGGGCCCCCGGGAAGGCCCAAGGGGCCCCCCCGCGCTCCCCGTACGATTTTCTGTCGACGCGTGGCCCCACGACTTTTCGACCCTTTCCACGGGGCCGGCCTGCAATCCCGAGCCGAGCATTCGAGGCCCGAGTGATTCGAATAGACGTAAAAGTGACCTTTCGCCGGAGTGACCTTCGGTGCGGGCGCAGATTGGCCCCCTTGATGGCTGACAGCGAAGAGGTTGCGGCGGCTTGTGCGCTTGCGCCGGCCTCCCCGCGGCCCCCCGAAAGTCGCGCACCAGAGGTCGCCCTTACGCGGGGTCGTGTTCTGGCGTGTAGCCCACTGACGGGGCGCCTGCGCTTGTTCGCGGTGGTGGGTGTCTGGGCCCGCCCCGCGCCGCCCCGCCGCCCTGCCCCCCCCCCAACCTTCCGGCCTGCCAGGCGCCAGAGCGTCAGGGGTCTCCTTCGCGGACCCGGTCACCGCCGCGGCTGCCGCCGCGGACGAGACCGTCCGGGCGGGCCCCCGCAGGAGGAAGGGGGGTGACCGAGGAGCCTCGAATCGAGACGATTTCGGTCCAGAGCGTTCGTGTGCGCTTTCGCAGCAGTCTGGAACGCTCCGAAACGGCCGCGTCGCCCGATGCATCCTCCAAACCCGCCGACCCTCATGGACTTCCGATGTATATCGGTCCGATTTTGTCTCGACTCTGCTTTCGTTTTAAGGAGTGGGTGGCAGGCAATCCTGCGGAAGGTGGCAGGCAATCTTGCGGAAGAGTGGATTTTCTAGGCTGTGATCAAGGGGCGCCCGCGATTCGGTCGCTTCGGCTGCGTCGCAGTCGGTCGTGTTCGGTCGGTGCTGTTCGGTCAGTTGCTGCGTCGCTGCCGCGTCGGTATTCCTTTCTCGGCTGAGATTCGGTAGGTTTGGGTTTTGTCAGTTTCGATGTCGCTGTCAATTCGTTTTGTTGTCGGTTTTGCTGTCGCCGTGCGCAGGTGTCCCAGTAATGTCTAGAGTCTAGAGTTGAGACTTTCCAGCCTGTCTATGATATCTTAGGGCGTTTGATGGGTTTTGATGCCCTGGGCGGCGTCCCGTTTGCGATGGGGGTCTGATGGCCCGTGCGTCGGGTGAGGTTTCGCTGCGATGGGGGTCTGATGGGCCTCCGTGGGCCTTCTCAAAATCGTGATCGCCATTTGGCCGCCTATGGGGTCCATTAAAATATGAGTAAGCTTGTCGGGCAAGCCAGCCAATTCAGAAACGATCGTGTTCTGGCGCGCGCGGTGCGTGCGAAGCTGTGCGTTCGGAGGGCTCGCTTTCGCGGGCAGTCTAAACTCTCATTCATCGTTTTGCCCCTTCCTTGGGGGCGGCGGCGGATTTTTGATCACTTCTCGGAGGGATTGGGTTCAACGGTTTCGCTGGGGCCTCGAAGCGAGTCTTTCGAATGATTCTAAAGCGCCATGTTTGCCATGAATGTATGGGGCCCACTGAGTACCAATGTCACCCTAGCCTCACCTGAAAAGTTGCATTCGCAAGCCCCCCCATGAATATGCTTGCGGTGTATCGCGCTATGGGTCACGAAATGCGTGAGGGGTGCTGCGCAAGCATGAGCATTGGGGCCCTCGTTTGATGTTGCATTCGGTCCGCAACCGTTTCTTCTCAAACATGTTTCGGCTCTGCATGAGCTCATCCGAAGATTGGCTGAGCGGAGAGGAATGGAGCCCTGCGAGTATCCCAACGCCAGTTGCTGCTGCTGAGGGTGGGCCCTCAGACGAGGCGCACGCCAGCGTCGACGAGGAGTGGGCCGACGATATCCCAGGCAACGGGCTGCCCCCCGACGCAGTGGCCGACGGCCAAGACCCCGTGGTGCAGGGCGCCGCTCAGCCGCCCCCGCTGCAGGTTGCAGCCCAGCCGTTGCCTCCTGCTGCCAGGCCGCCAGCGGCTACATCGCTTGACGACGTCGCAAAGGTTGTCCGCGTTCTCGTGACCAAGCGCCACGACGACGGCCAGCCCGTGGTCCTCGAGAGCGCGACGTCCTTGGCGGCCAGACTGGGGCTGCACATGTCGCATTTCCGCCTCAAGGTGTACGCCGCGGCCCGTGCAGCACACTGCGCCGCCCGCGCCCACGTGGACAGACTGATTCGTGGCACGCTGGCGGCCTGCAGGCAGGCGCCTGGCCAGGACGGAGGCGCTTGCGAACCACTCATTTTCATCAGGCAACGCAAATACGATGGGACGAGGATGAAGGTCACATGCCGTGTGGAGCACGAATACACCGACGACGTCATCACGGAAGCATCGACAGGCACTCGAGAGATCTTCGTTACCAAAGCTGGCTTCGCGATGATTTTCAGGAAACGTAGTCATGGGTCAGAGCATCACTTGTTGGTTGGAGGGTCAGTGCCGACACATTTGTCTGTGCTTGAAGGGTCGAAGGGTGACGTCATCAATGCCGCGCTGCGGCATCAGCTGGACAGCCCGCTAGACCCGCTCATTGAAACGCGTTTCCCTCGCCAGTTGGACGTCGTCGGATGCGATGCTGCCAGTGGGAACTTGAGGAGTGAGCGGGCGATGGGCTACCAGTACCCATTCAGATCGCAGTTATTGTTGTTATGCAGGGCCCACATGAAGAAGAAGGTGGCCGAGCAAGGGTACAAGACGATCCAGCCATTCGACACGCACCTTGTTCGTTGCCAGATGTCCCTCGTAGGTGACCATGTGATTGCTCTGCGCCACGAGGCGCGCCGACTCCATGAGGAACAGGTCATTATATTGCACGGCGTTTGCCCCGAAAGCGCCACAACACATCGGCGCAAGATCTGGGATATGTATTTCGACGACCCCACGGACCCGACATTGATGTATCGCAGAGCCATCTGCCAACGACTGTACAATGGCGACATCAGGAAGCATGGGGTTGTCGAGCACTATTGCAATGGGTGCTGCAGGTCGCCAGCACACACAGTCTTCCTGATGAGGAGGTATGGGGTCGGCGCCCTTTTTGGCGGGGTCGACGTGATGAACAGGGCGAACTGGACCAACAAGTTGCGGAGCCACAGGACCGTCGGGCTTCCAGCTTCTGTCCACGGTCTTTTCCAGGCGGCGTACTTGCGAGCTCTGCCTGCGCCCAAGCGGGCGGGGGCCCCTGCGCCGCCGCCGCCTGGTGGCGGGGCCCGCGGTGGGGGCGATGGCCCCCCAGCCGCGCCGCCCGTCGGCGAAGGCGAGGGCCCCCCCCAAGGCGGCCTGGGTGCAGGCGACCCAGCAGGCGAGCATGAGGCCGACGCGGACGACGGCAACACTTTCAGCGAGGAGCAGGCGGCCAGGGTCTTGGGCAGCCGCGCGTGGATGCTTGGTGGCACAGTCGAAGATGACATGTACGTTGCTTCATCCATGGTGGTGTTGACGGACAGCTATGTGACAAAACAGTTGCACACCAGCGGCTCGGCTTTCGAGCAGCAGCAGCAGCAGCACGTGGCGGCAGGCCGCCCTCGGACGTACCAGGCCTGGTTGGCGCATGAGGACGCAGATGCGATCTCTATCTTGACGAGTTCGTACAATGCGATCTTCGACGCGCGAGCCTGGGACCCGCTGCAGTGCCGCACGGAGGCGGCAGGGTTGAGCATATACCGATTGTACTCCAGGATGGGCGCCGTTGCTTACCATCTCGTGTACAGGTCCAATCGGAACTGGCCCATGCCGCTGCTATATGCCTCGAAGGACGCCACCATGTTGGGGCGGCTTGGAAGTACCAAGCCTTGTTTGCTGGATGCGTACAGTGCTAACTTCGCTAGCTTTTATGCTGGGCGCCTCGGTTCAACCGCTGCCATGGCCGAGCTCAAGGGTGCTGTCTCGGTGATCGACATAGATACAGCCGACGTGGAACGCATGCATTCTGTGAACCAGAGGGGTGCGCGCTTCAGAGTTTGGACGCACGTGGAGACCGTCGAGGAGGTGAGCGCCCACTTCGCCACGCACTCAGCCGCCGATTTTGGCGTTGCCGCTGCATCGCGGCCACCTGGCTGCCAGAGGGCGGCTGCCCCCAAGCGCATGCTTCAGGAGGGTGGCCCGCCCCGCGGCCGCAATAGCGTCAAGATGTGGGCATGGCGAACTTTTGTTCACATGAGGGGCAGTGGCTTTCTCACGCGGGAGTCAGCGGCAGAGCTGTCCGAGCAGTACCGAGCGTTGAGCGATGATGAGTTTCAGCAGTATCGTTTGTTGGGTGCCCTCGCGAGGGATCAGCATCTGGCAGGACTGCGTTCCTTCCCGAAGCGCCGAAGAGCTGCTGCCGCGTCGGCCTCGAGCGACGCTGGCGGGGTCATCGGGCTGCTGCCGTCGAGCCGCGGCCGACGGGACCTCCCACTGGGCGACGGTGAGTTGAGGAGGTCACGATATCATGATGAACCTTCTTCGATCTTGGACGCTGCTGCTGCCGCCAGGGCCAGCGCCCTCCGCCAGCGGCGCCGCGGAGCTGCAGAGGAGACCAGAGTTGCACGGGTCGTACATGATGCTTCGCTTGCCAGGAAGTTGGCCTACCAGGAGAGCGGCGACGACATGTTCGCCTTAGTGGACACGGCCGCGACCGTCGAGGGCGACATTGACGTCCAGGCCAGAGGGCGCCATCGATGCGCCTGCAGCTTCACAATGCCAAGCCAATCCAATGCCCAATGTCGGACCGACTGAGGCTTCGCCTGGAAGTCGCACGCGCCGACCTTAGGCATTGAACCGGCTTGGCATTGATTGCTATGCTTGCGTATCTGGTGCCCTCCCCAAGGTTGATGCTGGCAGAGTCCTGCGGTATCGGAGGCGCGCAGAGTGCGTGGCGGCGGACGCTTGCCAGGGCATTCGCGGCTCGTGTCGCCAGACTGTTGGCCAGTTGGCGTCTGAGTGGGAGGACATGCACCGAACGTACACCATGAAGAACGTCCCCCACCTTGGCAAGGTCCCCACTTGCCGCCGACGCTGCCACGAGGCCGAGACCTGCATCTGCGAGGGGGAGGGCGCGCCGCTGCGGAGGCTCGAGGCGCACGTCAGGAGCGCGTTCGCAGCCTTGCGCCGCTGGGACAAGAAGGCGGCGAAGGCCGCTCTGGCTCGCGGCGATTCGGTGTTGCGTTTCACCTCCGTGGTTCGCCCTCCGAGCGCCGATGCTGAGGCAGACGGTGGTGCTGCTGGTGCCCTTGTGCCTCTCGGCGATGGCGGTGGTGCGACCACGTACCGTTTTTTCCACGTTGCTTTCCACTATTCGAAGCCATTTGCTCCCACAGTGGTTGAGTTGGAGAGGGACCCGACCAGGGACCGCGGCGACATCTTGGGCGTGCTGCCGAAGCGGACTGGCGACCCGACAACGTTCTGGCGATCCACTTGGGAGATGGTCAAGTCATTCGAGTCGGGGCCGCACGTGACCATCAGCTTCTGGCAGTTCGTCGGCGCCCGCAGGCACGTCGTCTCCGTGGAGCCTTGGAAGCTGTGGATCTCGAACGTGACGGCAGAGGTCGACCCTCCGCCCGAGAGGCAGCAGTGGCGCCGCGCTGGTGCTGGGCCGCGGGCTGGGCGCCGGGGCCGCGGCCGTGGAGCTCGCGGCGCCGCCGCGGGGAGCGGGCGAGGTGGACCCACGGGGCATTCGGCCAGCTCTTCGAGCAGTTCGAGCAGTTCGAGCACCAGCAGTTCGAGCAGTTCGAGCTCTGAGTCCGACAGCGGCGGCGAGGACGGCGCGGACTCCGAGGTCAAGAGCGGCTCTGAGCACGGCGGCCTGTCTCCTTCCGAGCTGGACCAGAGCGACGGCGACGCCGCGGGCTCCGAGGGCCACGCTGGCGGCTCGGGGGAGGCAGAGCACGATGGCGACGACGAGGGCGACGACGCCCTCGGCGCTGGCGGGGGCGGCGGCGACGGCGGCCACGACGGCGTCGCGGAGGCCATCGAGGGGGCGATCGCCGTGGGCCTCGAGCTTCCGCTGCCGCCGCCGCCAGGGCCGCCGCCTGGAGCTGCGCCGCCGCCACCCCCAGGCCCGCCGCTCGCGGCCGAGGGCCTGGCCGCCCCGCGGGGTTTTGGCAAGGTGCCGCCCGAGATCGTGGCGCCGTGCGGCAACGGCGTGATCAGGTACTACGCGACCACAGGCGTCATGGTAGCCCAGTGCGGCGTAAGGTCTCATCAGGTTGGCCATGGGTGCTTTTTGACTCGGAGTTGCAGGGCGATGGGGTCCAACAAGTCGAAGGGCAGGATGCTCGGGCTGTTCGCAGCCTGGCTGGAGCTCGACGACAGCACCATGGTCACCCGATGGGAGCACGTGCACCTGTACAAGCCTGCCCATCGCGATCGGCTTGTTGCGAGGCAGGCTGCCCTCGCAAGCGGCAGCCCGCTGCTGCTGGCACTCGCCTCGAAAGAGCGAGACGAGAATGATAATGATGTGGAGGGGGAGCCTCTCGGCGACCCCTAGCAGAACTGCATGTGTGAGAATTTGCGGCCGACGTTGGCCTCCGAGAGCTGGGTTCAGTCCAAAACAGTTTGGGTCACGTCGGTTGCAATGGAGGCGATGAGGGAGCGTGTAGGTTTGAGGTTCGGCGTTGGGGGCGCACTCACGCACGACGATGGAGCACTGTATCAGTATAAGATGCACGCCGCGGCACTATGATGCACATGTGTGCGCAGGGGGGGGACGTCAAATGGGGATGTGTGGTTCAACCTAATGTTGAATTATATCATTATGTATGGTGTGAGTGGGTCTGCACGTGCATGGCATGCCGCACCTCACCAAGGATAGGTTCGGGCCTGTGGCGCAAGAAAGGTATGTAATCACACGCGTGGGCCATGAGGGTGCGCGTGGGGGCGCGTGCGGGGGTGCTCATGCCAGCGGGGTGTCCCCCCATTCTGCCCCCAGAGGGCGATGTATCCTATGACGCCTTCGGCTGCTCCGCCTGCGCTAACCTGAGTACACGCCTGTTCGATGGCCCCCAGGGGCTTGCACCTAGGTCTTGCACGGGGCCCTTGCGGGCCGCGAGTGCCGTTTGGGCCCGTGGGTCCCCCATCGCCCTTCTGTCGCCGCGACCATCGAGTCGATCCTGAGGGGATGCAGGGCATAGTGGTTTCTGGCGGAGCCCTCCTCCGATATCAGTTTGAAGTGACTCGTCCCTGCCACCATTGGAATCGATGCGTCGTCGAATTTCGACCCCCTGCTGGCCACCTTGGCCGTCTGGGCCCCGCCCAGTGGAGCCCCCCTTGCGTCGCGCGTCAGATGGGTTTACGAGGGTGCGGCCGCAGGTCTTGCAAAGGCTTCGCCGTGTAATGTCCGCCCCCCTGTCCCTGCATTCCTCCGACGTGTGCGTCTGCGGGCTTTGAGTACATGCCCTGCGTCGAAAACTCGTGACAGGGATGGTGGGCGCAGGGGGGGGGGAGGGGGGGGAGGCGGTGGGGTGGCGCGGCAGCAGCAGAAGGGTGTAAGTTTGAAGACGCAAAGCGATGGCACTAGACGGGGGGGTGCAGGGTGGGGGCGTCAGGGGGGAGGGTGGGCGATGCGCCGCGCTGGGTTTCGACGCGTGCCCCAAACAGCAATTGTTCAACGTAAGCCATGTAGACAGCAGCAGCCTCTAGGTCGCGCCAGCAGCCTCTGACGTTGATGAGGGGGGGTGGTCTAGCGTGCGCTTTGCCACGCCATGCCGCGCGACGTCACGCCTCGCCCGCCGACGCGCCCTCGCGCGCGCAACGGGCGCTGCATCTACTTTGTCCGTGGCCCAGCGCCATTCGGGCGCCGCGTCGCACCAACGGCGTCGCGCGCCTGGTCGTGCTGCGCGCGCGCGCCCGTGTAGAACGCGCCGATTGCATCCGACAGAAGGTGCGACCACGGCGTCGCATTGTGCAATGTTAAGCAACGCTGGTCCGCGCGGTCCGCGCGCGCGCGGCGACGCGCGCAATGCCGCGCCGCGCTTTCTAAGGTTAGACGCGTTTGCGGCGCACTCTATGTATTCAAGCAACGCGCCGCGCACCGCCGCGCCGCGATCGCACTCTGTGCCGCGCGCGCGCCGCGTGGCGCGCGAACTCGAATGCGGATGTTGCTCCAACGCCCTGCCGCATCGTGCCCGCGAGCCTCGCCGCGTTCGCGCTGTGCCTGTTCGGGCGGTGGTCCATGGCGTGCGCAGTTGCCCGCCTACCGCCAAGGTGCGAATAATGGTGTGCACAGCGTCGGGTTGCGGTCGCTTGTTCGGCGTTGGCGATGCGCCCCCGACAACAACGCACGCGCGCCCACAGTGCGTTGCTAAGAAACCATGACCCAGGCGTCATACGCGCACGCTGGCTTTCGATCGTTCGGCCCCATCTGACATGACGCGCTGGCGGGTTTGGGAGGCGCGCCCCTCACGGTGGCACCCGTGGCCGCATGTCCTCCAACATTGTGCGTTGGGGTTGCGTGGCCCAGCATGGGCATGCCTCGCGTCGGTGCAGTTTGCGCCGTGCGTTCCGGGGCAGGTCTGTGTGATTGGTCTGCTTCGGCACGAACGGCAGTTCCCAAGGTGCCCCAACAGAAACGCAGGTATGTATCGCACCGCCCGCGCACAGATGATAGTTGCCCCCCCGCGCGGCGCTCATTGGTTTGGTGTCCCCTTGCCAGCGCAGCGCCGTTCCTGGTTGGGTCTCGGCGCCCTGGCCACCCGCCCCCCGCAGCGCTGGCTCGGCTGCTTCGGGCGTGTGTGGGCGCGCGTGGGGCGGGTGCTCGTTGCGTGTTCCGATTCGCCACCGCTCTCCCCCATCGTGCGGCGCGCGGCGCCCTGCGGTTGCCCCCCCAGTCGCCCTGCGAGTGGCGCGCCGAGGGCGGCGTCGCACGATCGCCGTGGATGGGGGCCGCGCGCTCCAAGTGCGCCATGCGTGCGGCGCCATGCGGACAAACGCGTTCATCGTTTCGGGAGAAGGGGGGGCGCGAGAGGGGGGGGGGGGGGGAGGGCTCGCTCTTCAGGGCTGCTCACGTGCATCGCAGGCAAGTGGCGCAGGCCCAAGGAGGACACACGAGTGGCAACAATGCTGCCAGACCAAGAAGGCCAAGACGAAGGGGCAATCTGACTACCCAGAAGAGTTGAAGCAGCTGTTTGAAGCCGACCAAACCAACGAGACACCGAAGAAGCCCGACCTGGTCGAGCACGCCATCTCCCTGAGCAGAAGAACGCCCCGATCAAGCTGGCACCTTGGGGGCCAATGGAGAAGAACGCCTGTGCCAAGCCCGAGAAGACGTTGGTAATAGACGCCGTCGGCGTTCAAGGCAGCGGCGAGGCGGTTGGCATTGGCCCGCTGCCAGAGACCATGCAACGCCTGTCGCCCGCCAGGAGCTGGCGCGCCCCTTCGCAGGCGGGCGCCCTCGCTGCTTGCGGAGGGGCGCGCCAGCTCCTGGCGGCTGGCGGGCGACAAGTGCTGCGTCGTTGGCAGCGGGCCAATGCCAATCGCCTTGCCGCCGCCATGAACCCCGACGGCAGTAGTGGGTTGGCCCCGTGTCGGGGCCTGTTCGGCGTAGCGGCTGGCGCGCATGGGCGGCTGGCGGTTGGGCCTGGGCGGCCGCGTTCGGATCGTTTGTCAAGCGCGGTCGCGCTGTCCGCGCGGCGGGCGCGATGGCGCATCGGCGCGGACGCCGCAGGCGCGGGACCGCGCCCATCGCGACCCCATCGCAAGTTTGCCCAGGGGGCTGGGGGGGGCCATCAGAACCCCATCAAAAGTCATGGCGAATTTTCAGCCGCCGTCGGGGGGGCATCAAAAGCCATCAGAACCCCATCAAAAGTCATGGCGGTTTTTCAGCCGCCGTCGGGGGGTCATCAAAAGTCATCAGAACCCCATCAAAAGTCATGGCGGATTTTCAGCCGCCGTCGGGGGGGCATCAAAAGTCATCAGAACCCCATCAAAATGTCATCAGAACCCCATCAAAAGTCATCACCACAAGCAGGCATCAAAAATGATCAAAAGTGATCAGAAACGATCAAAAACGATCAAAAACGATCAAAAGTCATCAACACCCCGACGCCAGGCCATCATACCCCCATCAAAAGTCATGGCGGACTGTCAGCCGCCATCGGGGGGGCATCAAAAGTCATCAGAACCCCATCAAAAGTCATGGCGAATGTTCAGCCGCCGTCGGGGGGGCATCAAAAGTCATCAGAACCCCATCAAAAGTCATGGCGGTTTTTCAGCCGCCGTCGGGGGGGCATCAAAAGTCACCAGAACCCCATCGAAAGGTCATCCGACCGCTCGCGCGCCGCGCCAGCACCCACGCCGCGGCCGATCCCATGGCGATGCGGGGCTGAGGGCGCCCCCTTCGCAGCCGATGCCACCCTCGCCCCATCCGCGCGAGTCCCCTGGCGCGTCCGCCAAGGGGGGGGGGGGGGGGGAGTTCGCGCGCGGCGCGCGAGGGGCTGGTGGCGGGGCGGTGCGTGGCGGGGGTTGGTCCAGGGGCGGCAAGGGGGGCAGCGCTGGGCCTTGCCCCCAGGCAGGCTGTCACGGTCTGGCGGGTTGGCACCAGTTCCGACTGAAGCCCCTCGCAGAGTCGCGCCAGCGCAATAATGCGCGTGGTTGCGGGACGTTGGTGCTTCTGGTTGGTTAGGGGTTTCATAAAGGCGGGTGGCGCGACGCCGTCGGATTTTGTCAATCTGCCCCCCCCAATGTATGTTTCGGTGGCGGTCGCGCAACGAAGCCCGCCACATCATCAGCGGTCGGCGCTGCGCGATGTACCAAGCGGGCGATCGCTGGCCATGCGGCGGCCCATGGCGCCCTCTCCCTGAGCCCACCGTTCGCGATTTACTCGGCTGGCGTCAGCATCGCAGCCGTTGCGCTGCCGCTGCCGCGCGCAATGCGCTGGCGCGGACGCCTTCTCGCGCGCTAGCGCTTGGGCGCTGCGCAATTTGGCGGGCGCAGCCGATCGGCATCTGGCGCCGCAGGCCGACCCCCCCCCCTCAGGTTTCGGGCGGCAGGCCCATCTGGTCGCGCCCTATCGCGCGCCGCCCCATCGCTTCAAGCGCGCGACCAACGCGTCATCTCACATGGTGACGCGCTTGCATTCAGGGGAAGGTAGGGGTGGTGGGGGTTGGTGGCGCGGCTCTCGGAGCACTGCCCGCTGGCGCGTTCCGCGGGCCACGCCACGCTGGGGCCGCGGCTTCAACGTCGCGGCGGGCGGCAGCGGCGTCTCGACGCTCGCGTGGCCGCGAGCGAAGGCGCTTCCGATTCATCGGCGGGTTGCGTTTGTAATGCGTCTGGCTGTGGAGGCGGATGGCTGCTGATGCATGTCCCGCGCGCGATGTTCGCGCTGTCGCGGGGCCGCGCGACCCGATTGGCGCGGCCAAGCCAATGTCGGGTTCGCGGCCCAAGGCCCCGACGGAATGTGCGCGCGCGGCGGGGGCAGACGTTGGGCGTCGCCTGGGCCCGTCGAAGATTGGCCCCTTCGCTGCCAGTCGTTCGCCGACCGTCAGTCGGGCG